ACCCCTGCCAGCCCCACGGTCAGCTGAAGGTCTTTCACAGATAGGCTGTCTTCGCCAAGCTATGAATATTATATTCTTAAATAATTCTGGCTTTCATATTTATATAATGCATACCTTCACACAGATACCATTTCACTGGGGCGCATAACTGACCCCCAACCTGTGTCTGTCACTGTTGGAGCGCTAAGAAGTTTGTGCTTGTGCATTTATATTTGTTTCCAGCAGAGGGAGCAGCTGAGTGCATCGCAGCGAGTGGGATTCTGTGCACGCTGGCACAGATGCTGAGGACAAGGGGCCCCCTCACGCTACAGGCGGCCCAGCTAGTTGCTGACCTGAGCGGGCATGGTAAGGGGAGGGGCTAGGAGGGGTAACCAATGAAGTAACCATGACCAGATACATATGGGTTCAGTACCTGGACTGGATTTGAACTTCTTCCCTAAAGAACATTTACTAAGTAAAATGTAAGCTGCAAGCTATTCAGGTAGCTGTTTAAAAGCATCGATTTTAATATAAAAGGACATAGGTTCAAGTCCCACAAGCGCTAAACAACTAGCAGGGACATTGAACTGCAGAAAGCTGTGGCTGTCAGCGCAGGTCGGTGAGCTCCCCCTGGTGGACGCCGATTGAAAAGCAGCATTACACGTCCCTGCAGCCTTTGTGAGAGAGCACTGCATCAAGGCGGGACTGGCACCGACTCTCCTGGGACTGCTGCCATGCGGAGACCAGCAACTGCTGCTGCACGTCATCCGGGCCCTGGGCAGGATCTGCCTGGGTGACTGTGAGTCACTGCACGGCTGGTACCCCTGGTCTTTTCCATAGATAGAAACTATAAGTATAAACCCTCACAGTCAACAACCAAGGATGCCTGCAAGCGGAAAACCACACTGTAACATGAATGATTAGGCTTCAGTCTCACATCACAAATCTATTTCTGTATTTCAGCTCTCATAACAGTGATATGCTTCCCTTCAGTCTTACAGGAAAAGGGTTTTTCATGCATCAGTCACTATAAAAAACAGGAATTTAAATGCGTGTCTTGTGTGGCTAATTGGTATTCCGCTAAATGGCATCTGCATTAAATACTCAGGGACCCCCCCCCCCTCAGACAGTCTTTGTTTTTGCTCCCTGCCAGTCAGTCAACATTTTTGTTGAAATAGTTTTTTGCAAAAACGGGGCAGGTCCGGGGCTCCCCGAAGAACGTGCTGAGTTCCTTTGCTAAGGTTAGAGAGATGATTATATTTCTGAAGCTCAGCATAAATCCATCCAGCTGAAGCCATTTTGCCCGGATCTCGCAGACGTCCAGCAGGAGCTGCTGGTGCGGGGCGGAGCGCTCCCCTCGCTGGTGGAGACCATGCAGACAATCCCAGAGAACCCCCTGCTGGTGCAGGCCTGCCTGCAAGCACTGTGCAGCCTGGCAGGTATGGGCGAGGATGGGGGCTTGGTGACGCACTGGAACAGGGTGGGTAGCCTTGGGGGTGATGAGTGTGTGTACTGGGGTCTGCAATGCAGCCCACATGCCCTGCTGTCCATGGTGATGGTTGTGACGCTAAACCAGTGCCTGCGGGGTCACCACTCAGTCGCTGTGGAAAGGCTTCAAAGATGCTCGCCCACAGTCTGGAGCTCCCAGGCCAGTCGGGCCCCCCCCCCACACTCTTCCTTCATACCCAGAGGTGTCTGCTCCAGGTCCGGCAGGTCCGGCATCTGGAACGCTCCCAGGTTCAGCAGTCTGCGGTCCAGAATGTTCCACACCTTGTTGTGACCTAGAGGCCTGGGAGAGGCCAGAGGTCACCACTCAGAGATGCTGCAGTTTCAGGCTGGAATCAGCTATCGGCAACAGGAAGTGGAGAAATAACGTCATCAGAGGTGTCCTTTCAGCCGAAAACCAGAAAAACACTGAAAAGGCCCCCAAACATCAGACTGAAAGGGGACATTACATCCAGGTAGCTGTCTGATAGCAGGTCATCGGGTGCAGACCATTTCCACTGGAGTTCACACGTGGTGGGGAGCTGACACCACAAAGTCTCAAAAAAGACCAAAATGACCAGACAGTCTCAGCAGGAAGAAGCTGACTGGGCTGTTTTTGCTTGCATTTTATTTTAAAAGTTTTAACAGTTTATAATTTTGTATACTAATTGTTAATTCTACAAAATATACGATTACATTGTCAACTGTACTTCAATTCACAATTTTTTAATGACTTTATTGCTGAATACAGTTTATTCCTGGAGGACATGACTGGAGGACTGCCAGGACAAACATACTGTTTTTGTGTTTTTCTTTGTTAAAGTGAATTTAATCTTGCCGTTTGGTTGATACATGCACCTGATGGTACAGAAAGCCATTTTTTACAGCTTGTTGAAAAGTTAGTTTGTGATTTCTGTCATAAGCCTGCCACACACAGCATTTTAAAATCTAACAAAGTGAGTACACTGAGGCTCAAGACATGACAATGTCATTTGTAACTGTAAGCTTCTCTCAGTGACCAAGCGGCCATATTGGGCCGTATGTCTGGTCTGTGAGGGATGGCATTACTCTGACATTTCGATCTCTTTCTCCGTGCTGCCTGATGTGGGGCTGGGGGTGGTATCTGCAGTCAGGGGGTGTGGTCTCTGCCAGGGGGCAGGGCCAAGACCATGCCATTTCCTGACCAGCTCCTCGGGCTTGCTGGTCATTTCACTCCAGTGCTCCAGCTCTCTGCCGCGGGCGTACATGAAGGGGCCAATCACTACCAGGCCCATGGAGCCTGTCAGGGGTACAGGAGGTGTACAATTAATGAGCTGGTTCAGGTCTGAAATGTGTTACAGTATTTTAGAAATGATAGTGTTTGTGATTTGATGTCAGTGTGTGATGTCACATTGTTACACAGAGGGCTCCGTATGTGATGTCACTGTGTCATGTGATACTTACAGAGCCCTCCTATGGAGGCCTGTAGCACCTCTAGACTCAGGCAGGCCTCATCCAGGTGCTTGGGGGGTAGCTTGAAGGAAAGCCTCTCGCAGAAGGTGGGGTCTGCACCCCCCCTCACGGCTGCTGTCCTCTTGCGGGTTACTACCTGAGTGTGGATCTGCAGCGTCACCTGAATGCACATGCCTGTCCAGAGCACACGGGGCCCGGATCAGTACCAGAGCACA